TCTCCCTCCTCCGCTGGGTGCAAAGGGGTGGGGGGCAGCTCCCGAAGTGCTGTGTTGGGCCTGAGCGGGCCGAGACCTTCTGGTTGTCGTCCCCACCCCCGGCGTCCGGCAGGTCCTGTGGCTGCACCAGTCTCTGAGGGCAGTGGCTGTGTGTGCCCCTAGGTCTCTGTACACTTCCCTTTTCAGCAAGTATTTTTAGCTGGGTGTAAACACTTACGGAACTCTCCCACGCCCCTTTAAGCAATGAAGTTTCGGTGAGAGGGGTACTGGGGGAGAGTCCCCTGGTTACCCCTGGCACTTGGCACGTGCCTGGCTTTTTTTTAGGGGGGGTGGATGGGAGCATCTAACAGCTGCCAACAAGGGGGAGAGTGCAGCCTTGGAGCCCTGGACCCAATTCCTGCCTGGTCTCCCTCCCTTCCCTGGCAGTCTGCGCTACCAAGAAAGGCCTGCCCCAGGCCGTGGCCGCTGACCTCAGCACCCGGGCACAATGCCCAGCCTGTTCCCCCAGGACCCCGGAACAAGGGCTGCTGGGAGCAGGCTCTGGGGCAGGAAGTCAGAGCTCAGAGCTTGCCCTGCCACATCCCCAGGGCCTGTCCCAGGAGCTGTGTATGTGTATAGCAGCTGCTGTCCCACTGGGGTTAAATATAGTCCGGCCCTCCTGGACCCTCATGGGACCTTGGTGCACACAGTGGGCTGGCCAGCCTGGGCTCCCCCTGAATGGGTCATTCAGGCCCAGCCTGTGCCTAGAAGGCAGAAGGAATCACAGTGTCACTTTCCACACCGACCCAGGCCCTGGCAGCCAGCTCTCCCCAGAACCCAGTAGCACCAAGAGGTCTTGGAAGACCTCCTGCGGGCAAATTTTCAAAAAACAAAGATCGGGCCCGGCACGTTAGCCAAGCAGCTAAAGTCCTCACCTTGAACGCGCCGGGATGCCATATGGGCACCAATTCTAATCCTGGCTGCTCCACTTCCCATCCAGCTCCCTGCTTGTGGCCTGGGAACGCAGTCCAGGATGGCCCAAAGCCTTGGGACCCTGCACCCGCAGGGGGGACCCGGAGGAGGTTCCTGGCTCCTGGCTTCGGATCAGCTCAGCTGTGGCTGTTGTGGTCACTTGGGGAGTGAATCGTTGGATGGAGGATCTTTCTCTCTGTCTTCCCTCCTCTCTGTATGTCTAACTTTCCAATAAATATAAATAAATCATTATTTAAAAAAATAAAGATGAGACAGCCAGCAATCCAGTTAAAAAGTTAACTTTCCTTGTGCCTGAGCACGAGCTGTGCGAATGTGTTTACAAACACAGCTGGCAGTACAGGAGACCTGAAGAAGTCTGGAAAACAAACAAAAGCCTACTTTCACATAAAAGGAGGTGCAACCCGCGTGTACACAGGGTGTTACAAAAAGTTTCTAGCAGTGAATGTTATCAAAAAAGCCTGGATTTCAGAATTTTGTTGCACCCAGATCAACTTGTCTTTTCCAGTTTTTTGACGTTTTGAAGTAGAATCAGATTCCACAGATGGGCTACACCTAGCTTTTTTATTTTTTGAGTTTTGTATATTTATGTATTTATAAAGAGGTATTGTTAAAATCTTTTTTTTTTTTAAAGACTTGTTGTTCACTCCCTGGTTCACTCCCTAAGTGACTCCCTGAGCAACTGCCGGAGTTCAGCTGATCCGAAGCCAGGGGCCAGGAGCTTGGGCCAGGGTCCCAAGGCCGTGGGCCGTCCTCTGATGCTTTCTCGGGCCACGAGTGGGGAGCTAGAGGGGAAGTGGAGCAGCTGGAATACGAATTGGTGCTAATATGGGATCCCAGTGCATGCAAGGGGAGAACTCTAGCCACTATCGTGCCGGGCCCCCCCCTTTTTTTTAAGGTTTGTTTGACTTATTTTTATTGGAAAAGCAGATATACAGAGAGGAGAAGAGACAGAGAGAAAGATATTACATGTACTGGTTCACTTCCCAACTAGCTACAACTGCTGGAGCTCAGCTGATCCAAAGCCAGGAGCTTCTTCCAGGTCTCCCAGGCAGGTGCAGGGTCCCAAGGCTCTGGACCATCTTCTACTGCTTTCCCAGGCCACAAGCAAGGAGCTGGATCGGATGTGGAGCAGCCAGAATACGAACCAGCACCTGCATGGGATCCCCATGGATGCAAGATGAGGATTTAGCCACTACACTATCACACCGGGCCCAAGGTTTATATATTTGAAAAACAGCAACAGAGAGAGGGAGTGATTTTCCAACTGCCAGCTGGGCTCCCCCTGGGTCATTCAGGCCCAGCCTGTGCCTAGAAGGCAGAAGGAATCACAGTGTCCCACTCTCTAGATGACCTCAACAGGGGAGACTGGGCCAGGCTGAAGCCAGAAGTGTGGAGTTCTGTCTGGGTCTTCAGCGTGGGTAGCAGGGACCCAAGCACTTGCCCAGGTGCATTAGCAGGGGGCTGGATGGGGAGCAGAGTAGCTGGGGCTCAGACTGATGCTCTGACCTGGATGGTGGGCATTGCAGGCGGTGGCGTGACTTGCTACCTCTTGTATGCAATGTGGACAAGTCTGCAGGCAATGGATTCCAGGGTTCCTTGCACACGGGAGTGTCCACGGAGGATGCTGGGGTCCTTCTGTCAAGTGGCCACATGTTTGCATGTCACTTCCCTGTGCATGTCATCTGTGGACTTGACCCCAGCTCTGAAGACGGGGCCAGGCCTCCGCAGAGTCTGCACTAGGCGCACAGTGGCTGGTGGGGAGCGATGACAAGGCGTTCGTGTGCTGGGGACACATGCAACTTGCTTCCTGGATGGTTTTCATGCAAAGTTGATTGAATCTACCACAGAGGAACCTGAGAAAGTGGAGGGCTGGCACGTGTGTGTACTTGTTTTACTTGTATGTCTTTGTTGCAAGAAGGATGGAGACCAGGAGGGCGTCCATCCCGGGCCCACCCCAGTTTCCTGCAGCAGTCCCGCCGAAGCTGGGGGCCAGGAATGCCACCTGCGTCTCACCGTGTGGGTGGCAGGGGCCATCATGCGCTGCCTTTCTGGGTATTCATTGCTAGGAAACTGGATGAGAAGTGAAGATTACCAGCCTCCCAGGCTGTGTCTTCCCTGCTGTGCCAGACCCCCACGCCTGGTGGTGGTTTCCTGCTCATGTTACTGTTGCATTGTCCTATTGGGAACACTGATGGTGACCCTAAACCTGTTCCATTCTCCCACTTGTCCAGAAAAAATGCTTCTCATAGCTACTTTTCCCTCGTCAAGGACATCCATTTCAGGATCACTCATTGCAACTTTGTGACATGTTTCTTTGGCATCTGATGTACTCTAGAACAATCTAGAATATACTCCTGCTTTTTTTCGGGGGGATCTTTGGTAGTGATTAGGGTCTGAGCCAGTCGCTTTGGGGGCCCTGTGGCTTCCCGGTTGGGTTGGATAAAACAGGCCCAGCAAGGGTAGGCACTGTGGCCACCCTGGCATGTCACAGCCGCAGACACTGGCTCGGCGGGCCTCAGCTTTTTCCGGTGGGTGCTGTGTCACTTGGTGCAGGCATGTCTTCCGGGTCTCCCTGTTGTGAAGGCTGCCACTCGGCAGCCATTCACCTATGCTGTTGGCCACCACCACCATTTCCTTCAGTGGCTTGAGCTGACCACGAGCAGGGCGACACCTGATACCCCGACCCCCATCAGCAGCCTTGCGGGTTGCCTCCTGGGTGCTGCACTTTGAGCTGCACCCCCAAGACTAGGTGGAAAGATGGGGAGGCAGTGACCATGCCAAGGTGTAGGGAGGAACCCCCCAAGCCCACTCTCCCTGAGTTGCCTCTCCCTCTGCTCTCCTCCTCCCCCATCTGTCTCCCAGCTTGGTGTGGTCCCTGCCTGAGGCCAGGAGGACTAGGCAGGACAGGGAGCTGCCTGGAGGGGTGGCCTCAGGCAAGGGGGAAGCTCATCTGTAAAAATAAAAACAAAAACAGAGGTAATAACAGCCCCCGCGGCAGCCGCCTGTGCCAAGGACTGGGCCTGGCACAGACCCCACGCCCGGGACACGGGCCTGTTATTATTTTTATGATTGTCGTTCAGGCAGCGGGGAGGTGTCGGCGGCGGCAGCTGCGGGCCGGAAGGAGTGTTTGCAAACTGACAGCTGGGGGAGACTGGTCGCTCACTGCCAGCGCACCACCGGCGCGCCCTCCTGTGGTGGCAGCCGAGGTGGCACATGTTCAGGGAAAGGCAGAGAGAGCTTGCTCTGGCTGGAGCTTCAAGCCTGCACTTCTGTAAAATGGAGCAAGGAGCTCTCCCATTCCAGGCACTGCAAAGGGCTGACAGGATGGAAGGGTCCTGCACTCATGGGAGCTCAGCCATGTGGATCTCCACGGCCTGCTTCCAGGGGGTCCTCCTTGCTGAGGGACGTGGGACCCACTTGCCCCCAATCAGGCTCAGCTCTGCCTGGCTGTGACCCAGCAGTGAGCGTGCCCCTTCCTCGTGGACTCCAGCTGGCCCCTAAGGCCACCTGCTCCCCTGCCCAGGCCCCAGAGCCTGCATTGCGAGGCTCAGGCCAGGCTCTGCAGCAGCTCCTGCACCTGCTCGCTTCACGGCTGGGTTTGCCCATGTTCGCTGCCAGGAGGTGTCCGTGCTGGGCCACCACCGCCCCAGTGGCCCCCCCCTTTCCCTCAGTGAGCGTCCAGGCAGGTGTGGCGTGAGGTCTGTCATCAATCCACTGATGGTGGTGCCCGTCAGTGAACACGTGCCACGGTTGAGCTCAAAATGCAGACCAAGACATGGGCTCTGGTGGGTCTGGGGGTAACGCCTGGTCATGCGTGTCTGGGAAGGACCCACGTGGGCCAAGGGCCTGAGAGACCCCATTTTGAAGCTGCCTGGGTCAGGCAGGCCGGTGGGCAGTGCCTGCAGTGCCACCGACCCTTCACACTGGGTCCCCACCATGGGAGCACCAGTGCCTGTCACACTCCTGACAGTGTTGGTAGGAGGACGCCCTCTGCCCTCAGCCCTGCTCATGTTATCTTTTCCCTGCAGCTCTGATGGTACGCAGCGATAGACCGGCCCTCCTGTGACTCAGGGACACCCGCTCTCCTGGGACCATGTCGGCTATACAGGTACAGGCAAGCGAGGGGGCGTCTAGGACATTAAGGGACGGTGCCAGCACCGGCTGTCAGTAGTGGCTTAGATGGGGGAGGGGAACGCTGAGGGACTTGGCTGCAAGGGGCCACCTCATCCAGGCCTGTGGAAGGCCAGGAAAGAGACCTTGACAGTCCTGGCCACCCCGCCCACCCGCAGCCCCTCCCTCCACAGGCCGTCTGGCCAACTGGCACCGAGTGCATTGCCAAGTACAGTTTCCACGGCACCGCGGAGCAGGACTTGCCATTCTGCAAAGGAGACGTGCTCACAATTGTGGCTGTCACCAAGGTAATGGGGTCATATTGCAACTCCCCTAGCCCCTGCTCTGAGTCCAGATTCTTATGGGGCAGGTCGAGCCTGAGAGTGTGTGGGCCTTCCTGTTCCCCAGGACCCCAACTGGTACAAAGCCAAGAACAAGGTGGGCCGGGAGGGCATCATCCCTGCCAACTATGTCCAGAAGCGCGAGGGCGTGAAGGCAGGCACCAAGCTCAGCCTCATGCCGTGAGTACCGCCCAGGGCGCAGGGCCTCCAGGAGGGGCACGTGGGAAGCAGGAAGGCAGGCCCAGGGGCAGCCTTGAGCCACCGTGACCCCTGGACCTCACCCCACCCCCGCCCCCAGCTGGTTCCATGGCAAGATCACGCGGGAGCAGGCCGAGCGGCTCCTTTACCCACCGGAGACCGGCCTGTTCCTGGTGCGGGAGAGCACCAACTACCCGGGAGACTACACGCTGTGCGTGAGCTGCGAGGGCAAGGTGGAGCACTACCGCATCATGTACCACTCCAGCAAGCTCAGCATCGATGAGGAGGTGTACTTCGAGAATCTCATGCAGCTTGTGGAGGTGAGCGGGGGACTGTACCACCCCATCCGGCCTTGCCAGCCTCAGTGTCCTCACACACCTGTCACGTGTCCCACTGTGCTCCCACGAGGGGGAGCAGCCCTGATGGCAGCCACTCACAAACTGCAGGCCACCAGGTGGGGATAGGCACCTGCACCTGCCTGGACGATGCCCATGCTTTCCCCACCCCCCCACCCCCCCTCCAGCCTCCTGCTTTCTGGCCTGAGGCAGGGGAGGTAGGGGTCCCTGGGGGTACACCTGACTGAAGGTTGGTGTCAGAACCCAGCCAGAGTTTGCCCTGAGCCTCAGAATGCCAGTGAGGCCCAGAGTGGCGGCCACAGGCAGGTGTGGGGAGACACGGAGAGCAAGCCATGTGCCAGAGGCTAAACTTCCCCAATCTTTGGCCAGCCGGAAATAGGGTGCTATCCAGGCAGGGCGGAAGCGGCGTCTGCCGCCCTCTGGTGGTCACAGCCGGGTGGGTGTGTGCCAGCTGCCAGAGAAGGGGTGCCCGGTGGCCGGCTGAGCGCCCCCCCCCACCTGCCCTTCCCAGCACTACACTAAGGACGCCGATGGACTCTGCACACGCCTCATCAAACCAAAGGTCATGGAAGGCACAGTGGCTGCCCAGGACGAGTTCTACCGCAGTGAGTGTGCCCAGCCTGTGCCTCTCCCGCCCGGACTCCCCTGTACTGCCTGCTCTCAGTCCCCAGCCCCTGGAGACCCACTAAAGTCCTCCCCGCTGTGACTGCCCTTCAACACTTGCCTCTCCACAGGCGGCTGGGCGCTGAACATGAAGGAGCTGAAACTGCTGCAGACCATAGGGAAGGGGGAGTTCGGAGGTGAGCTGGGGGGCCAGCCATGCAGGGACCCGAGGAGAGGCTTGGGCTCGGGCGGGCAGGCCGGGGCTCAGCACCTGTCCTCTCCACAGACGTGATGCTGGGTGACTACCGAGGCAACAAGGTTGCGGTCAAGTGCATTAAAAATGACGCCACAGCCCAGGCCTTCCTGGCCGAAGCCTCGGTCATGACGTGAGTTGGGGGGGGCTGGGACAGGGCGGGTGGGCAGCTGGGCCAGCTCTGACCCTGACGCCTGCCCTGCCTCACCCCAGGCAACTCCGGCATAACAACCTGGTCCAGCTGCTGGGTGTGATCCTGGAGGAGAAGAGCGGCCTGTACATCGTTACCGAGTACATGGCCAAGGTGGGCCCCGCTCCTCTGTCCCGGCTCTTCCCTCGGTGACGGGGTGTCCCCTCCCCATTTGGCAGGGGGAGAATGTTGTTCAGCCCCACCCCCGTGCCCACTGCTGACAGGGCTGGGGCAGGTCTGACCCTGGGTCCCCGTCTGTCTGCTGCCCACAGGGGAGCCTGGTGGACTACCTACGCTCCCGGGGCCGGTCGGTGCTGGGCGGAGACTGTCTCCTCAAATTTTCGCTGTGAGTGAGGCCGCCGCCCCCAGAGAGAGGGGAGAGGGTTGGGGAGTGGGTCTGGCGTTCGGAGGGGGCAGCCCTGTCTGAGGGGACCTGGGCTGCCCCCAGAGACGTGTGTGAGGCCATGGAGTACCTCGAGGGTAATAACTTCGTGCACCGTGACCTGGCCGCCCGCAACGTGCTGGTGTCTGAGGACAACATGGCCAAGGTCAGCGACTTTGGCCTCACCAAGGAGGCCTCCAGCACCCAGGACACGGGCAAGCTGCCTGTCAAGTGGACAGCACCAGAAGCCCTGCGGGAAAAGGTGGGGTCGCACGGGGGCAGCGGGCGGGGCCAGGGTGCACCTCAGCCTAGGCCGCCTCCTGCCCCCTCCCCAGGGTCTCACCCCCTCCCCCGCCTCCCCCTGCAGAAGTTCTCCACCAAGTCCGACGTGTGGAGCTTCGGAATCCTCCTATGGGAGATCTACTCCTTCGGGCGAGTGCCTTACCCAAGAATTGTAAGTGTGGGGCCTGGCCCTGGAAGGGGAGTGGGGTCCCCAGCCACTTCCAGTTTGGGTCTGGGGTCACGCCGAGGCCCAACGCCGATACAATCCTCTCCTGTCTTCCCCCCAACCCGGCACTGTACAGCCCCTGAAGGACGTAGTCCCTCGGGTGGAAAAGGGCTACAAGATGGACGCCCCCGACGGCTGCCCGCCTGTCGTCTACGATGTCATGAAGAACTGCTGGCGCCTGGACGCGGCCACACGGCCTTCCTTCCTGCAGCTGCGGGAACAGCTGGAACACATCAAGAGCCACGAGCTGCACCTGTGACCTTCGCCCTGTGGGGACTGAGCCTGGACCATCCTGGCCAGGGCCGCTCCTGAACTGAGCCCAGCAGGCAGGTGGGCACAGCCCCTGCCCTGCCCCAGCGCCGCCGGCCCTGCTCTAGGGCCTGCCACCTGCCTGGCAGGCCGAGGAAGAAGAGGAGGAGAAGGAGGCTGCCAGGGGCTGCCCTTCCCGGCCTCGCCACACTCGCCGCCTTTAGAGTTTTATTTCCTTTTTTTTCTGAGATTTTTTTTTCTTTCTGTGTGTTTATTTTTTATGATTTTTCAAGATAAGGACAAAGAAAATACCCAGTCAAGTGGGCATTTTACAAGAAGTACGAATCTTATTTTTCCCCGACCTGCCTGTGCGGGTTGGGGGTGAGGGTGGGAGGGGTCACTGCGGGGACTGGGACCCAACGCCCGCGGAGAGACCCACGGCCCCCACCCTCGTTGTCCCGTGTCCCATGTCGTCTCCTGGTCGCCCGTGTCTGCGCTTGACCATTGTCGCACTGTTGCATGCGCCCGCGGCAGCGTTTATCCAGGGCTTGGGGTCTACGCGCCGCCGCCGCCACCACCACCGCCACCACTGTCACCACGTTGTGAGCCGGAAGCGTAATAAACCCCTCCATGCGGACACTGCCCCGCAGCCTGCGCCTCCCTCTGCCGTCGCCATCTTGTGTGTGCCCTTGTGTCTGTGGGCAGGTAGCATGGCCGGGAAATGTAGCCTCGCTTTGTGTCCAGCTGCACGAATGAGTGTCCTGTGTCTGCCCTGGGTTGGGACAAGGTGCCCGCCTACCTACTGTGTACCCCAGTGGCCTGGTGCAGACTGCATCCAGGCACCTGGCTGTGGGGGTGTGGGCAACCAGCGCTCAGCATCTAAGGACCCGTGGGCTGAGCGGTCCCAGCACAGGAGGTGGGGGCAGCCATCAGAAGCATCCTTCACTCAGTGACACAGCCAGGCTTAACCCACCCTGTGCCTTCTGGGTCCCCAGCCAGCTGGACCGGAAGCCCTAGTCCATAGGAAGCCCTATGATGGCAGCATACCTTGTGGCTCCAGCCACCCTCATTTGGCCCAGTACACCCACTAGACACACATATACCCTTCATTCGCCCCCTGCACCTGCCACCTGCTTGTGCTCATCCAGGGCTCAGCAGTGACCCTGTGGAATTCACATGGACGGGGCCAGGCTGATGAGTGCTGGGGAAGACACCTGTATCACGGGGGCCTTCTCTGCAAACCAGGGAGGGCTTCCTAGAAGAGGCTCCTGCAGGCTGGGAGTAGGATCAGGACAGGAGTTAGCAACTTCTGCAAGGTGGAACCAGAGTGGGTGGCGAACTACACAGCCCAGAACCAAGAGTACAAGCCGGATTTTGTCCAGCTGGAGTCATGAGGGACATTTGAAGGGGATGGTGACAGGCTCTGGGTGCCAGCAGAGGGAGCCTGCAGGGCAGGGCGCGGGCACTGGGGACACGGTCAGGTGTGGTAGATGTGTAGGGGGGAATGAAAGGTAAGAGTTCAGATGACAGACTGGGAGGACATAGAAGTGGGGAGCACCTCTGGGCAGAGAGGAGGAAGCTGGGAAAGGGGCAGGGCTGAGGAGACTTGGAGGGAAGAACCCAGATGCAAACCCCATGGGAACACAGGAGCAGGACCAGCCTGATGCATTTCCTACACAGAGGGGACCTTTGCTGGCATCGGTGGTGCCTGTGGCTGATAGGCCAACCACAGATGGCAGTGGGTAGAGGTGGACACGGGCAAGGCCAGAGAGCAGGGGAAAGGGGCATCAGAGGCTACACGAGGCCGTCAAGCTGGCAGGGGATTGGACAAGAGCAAATGTCACAGGGAGGCACTGCAGGTACTGAGCAGAGGTAGTGAGGTGTGGGGCCCCAGGGAGGTGCGTGTGTGGGCAGCACAGGTGCCAAGGGGTGTGGAGTGGAAGCAAGTGGGACCCAGGAGAAAGCAGAATCTACAGGCCCCATGAGGGGCTCAACTTCTTGCAGAGGTGACGGGACAGAGAAAGGGACATGGGGACAGTGAGGAGGCTGGAGGGGGCAGAGCATGGAGAGCAGAGAGGTTTGGAGGGCTCCCAAGTAACCCCCCACAGACTCCGGGAAGTGGATGCTGCTATTGTCCCCAGTTGTCAGATAAGAAGACTGAGGCCCCGGGGCTGTATAGGATGCAGGTCACCTGCATGAGTGAGTGACCTGAAGAATCAGCTGAGGCCTGGGCTGTGGGGAATGAGTCAGCAGAATGCCCCTGAGGGCTGGTGAGGTCAAGACAAGCTGTCCCCAGCAGAGCAGGACATTCACTCTGGCTTGTGCTCCAGGGAGAGGCTGGGCTGCATGTTGAGACCTGGGCCTGGGAGCCCCACGGACAGCCAGGGCATGCACAGCTCAGCCTGAGAGCAGGGCACATGCCGGGAAGGAAGGAGGCAAGTAGTCTGGAAGTGTGGCAGCCTCAGGGGACAAGGTCCTTGGAGGCCAAGAGATGGGGAGCGTGGAAGGAAGCCAGGACCGCGGACTGAAGGCAGACGCCAGTCTGGGTGGTCTGTGGCTTCCTGTGGAAATATGACTGTTTTGTTTTTTGAAAGACAGAGTTGGAGAGAGAGGGTGAGGCAGACTGGTCCCTGGCTTACTCCCCAGATGACTGCAAGGGCCTGGACTGGGCCAGACAGATGTCAGGAATTGCATCCTGGTCTCCCACGTGAGTGCAGGGGCCCAAGGACTTGAGCCATCACCTGCTGGTTCCCAGGCACATTAGCAGTGAGCAGGATGGGAAGTGGAGCAGCCAGGACTCAAACCAGCGCCCGTGCGGGATGCCAGCGCTGCAGGCAGGGGCAGCTTTAAGCCGCTTTGCCACAGTAGAGACCCACAAGAGGACTTTTCTTAAGGCGTCCTCCAGTTTTCCCATTTATAGCCTTGACTTTGATCAATTCCTGGAGCCTCAGGAACCGGCTCCTGCTGGGAGTTGAGTAGCAAAGGAACAGACAAGCCACTCTGGAGACCCAGCCTTTATTCCCAAAATGCCATGTAGGATTGCTTCACTTTGAAAAGCTTGCCTGAGAAGACATTTAACACAAATGGAAACACAAACGGAGGGAGAATATGCCGAAACCCAGCCCCCACATGGGGCCTCCAGGGTCTCCATTCAAAGTTAGCTCTGGGGCCCGGCCTGGTGGCCTCAGTTCTCGCCTTGCATGCACTGGGATCCCATATGGGCACCAGCAGCTCCACTTCCCATCCAGCTCCTTGCTTGTGGCCTGGGAAAACAGTCAAGGACGGCCAAAAGCCTTGGAACCTTGCACCTGTGTGGGAGACCTGGAGGAGGTTCCTGGCTCCTGGCATCAGATCTGTACAGCACCGGCTGTTATGGTCATTTGGAGAGTGAATCATTGGACAGAGATCTTCCTCTCTCTCTTGCTTTCTGTATATCTGCCTTTCCAATAAAAATAAATAAATCTTCAAAAGAGAAAAGTTAGGGCCCAGCGGCGTGGCCTAACGGCTAAAGTCCTCACCTTGAACACCCCAGGATCCCATATGAGCACCGGTTCTAATCCCAGCAGCTCCACTTCCCATCCAGCTCCCTGCCTGTGGCCTGAGAAAGCAGTCGAGGATGGCCCAAAGCTTTGGGTCCCTGCACCCGTGTGGGAGACCCGGAAGAGGCTCCTGGCTCCTGGCTTTGGATCGGCCGTTGCGCTCACTTGGGGAGTGAATCATCAGACGGAAGATCTTCCTCTGTCTCCTCCTCTCTGTATATCTGACTTTCCAATAAATAAATAAATCTTTTAAAAAAAGAGAGAGAGAGAAGGTAGCTCTGGGCAGTGTACACCCTACCTTGCTCCCCACCTCCCAAGCTCAGAGAGGTTTTCTTGAAGGCAGGAAATTGCAGACATTGTATCAATTCATCCACAAGACTTTCACACCAGGGTCAAGTTCTAGAGTTCAGAAAGTTGGAACAACTGGGGCTGGTGTTGTAGCACAACAGATTAAACCTCCACAACCACTTGTAACAATGTCAGCATCTCACATCGCAGCACCTGTTGCAATGAGTTCCTTCTGATCCTACTCCCTGCTATTGTACCTGATGGACGATGGCACAAGTGTTTGGACCCTTGTTTCCCTGTGGGATACCTGGGTGGAGTTCCTGGTTTCTGGCTTCAGCCTGGTCCAACCCTTGCTGTTGGCAGCCATTTTTTTTTTATGGAAAGTCAGATATACAGAGAGCAGGAGAGACAGAGAGAAAGATCTTCCGTCCAATGATTCACTCCCCAAGTGTCCACAACAGCCAGAACTGAGCCAATCTGAAGCCAGGATCCTGGAGCCTCTTTTGGGTCTCCCATGCAGATGCAGGGTTTCAAGGTTTTGGGCCGTTCTCGATTGCCTTCCCAGGCCACAAGCAGGAAACTTGATGGGAAGCAGGGCTGCCGGGATTACAGCTGGTTTCCACATGGGATTCTGGCAAGTACAAGGCGAGGACTTTAGCCATTAGGCTACTGTGCTGGGCCATGCAGCCATTTTGCAATATGGATCTCTATCTGTGCCTTTCAAACAAACATTTTAAAAATTATCTCTGATTCTGTTTATCACTATGCATTTTTTAAAGATTTATTTTTATTGAAAGGCAGATTTACAGAGGCAAAGAGATCTTCCATCTACTGGCTCACTCTCCAAGTGACCGCAATAGCAGGAGCTGAGCCAATCCGAAGCCAAGAACCAGGAGCCTGTTCTGAGTCTCCCATGCGGGTGCAGGGTCCCATGGCTTTGGACCGTCCTCGACTGCTTTCCCAGGCCACAAACAGGGAGCTGGGTGGAAGTGCAGCCACCGGGACACAAGACTGTGCCCACACAAGAGTCCAGTGCTTGCAGGTGGAGGAATAGCCTGATGAAACAGCACCAGTCCTATCCACGCAGCTTACAATTCCTTTTATTCACAAAGTTTTAAAATTATTATTATTTTTTATCCTAAGGAGCTGGACTACGCAGAGACAGGAGGCAGGGACTCTAAGGTGTCCTGTGTGACCCATAGGGAATTCAGTGCTTGAGCCGCCCTACTGTATCCCAGAGTCAGTGCTGACACGGCACAGACTGAACCCAAGCACTCCCAACGTGGGTCGGAGCCCTCGCCCAGAGCCTCCACAGCTCCTGAACTAATCTTTTCATGTCATTTCCCCACACAACTTCTGAAGTGCCCTCACGTGTTCTCTAAATGACAAAAGACAAAAGATATAACCATAGGGGCTGGCATGGTGGTATAGCAGGTTAAGCCCCTGCTTGTGTTGGTTCAAATCCCAACTGTTTCGTTCGACTCTGCTAGTATGCCCAGCAAAGGAGGGGAAGATGACTCAGGACCTACGACCCTGCCTATGTGGGAGGCCGGATGAGATTCCTGGCTCTTGGTTTTAGCCTGGCCCAGGCTCCACTATGATATCTATTTGGGGAGTAAACCAGCAGATGGGAGATTTTTCTCTCTGTTTATCTTTCCCACTATAAATCTGCATCTCAAAAAAAATAGTTTTTAATTTACTTATTTATTTATTTATTTTTAAAGATTTATTTATTTTTATTACAAAGTCAGATATACAGAGAGGAGGAGGATGGACAGAGAGGAAGATCTTCCATCCGATGATTCACTCCCCAAGTGAGCGCAACGGCCGATGCTATGCCCATCCGAAGCCAGGAGCCAGGAGCCTCTTCCGGGTCTCCCACGCGGGTGCAGGGTCCCAAGGCTTTGGGCCGTCCTCGACTGCTTTCTCAGGCCACAAGCAGGGAGCTGGATGGGAAGTGGAGCTGCCGGGATTAGAACCGGTGCTCATATGGGATCCCGGGGTGTTCAAGGTAAGGACTTTAGCCACTAGGCCACGGCGCCAGGCCCAATAGTTTTTTAATTTAGCAATGCCATATTATATCTAAAAGTTTTAATAATAGCTGTTTAGTCAAATATCTATTGGTTGAATTTCTGCCATCTCATCTTTTTTCTTTCTTTCTTTTGCAAGTTAATGAGTTAAAATTAGCAGTCACAGCAAACACTGTGGGTCTACTGCTTGGGACACCAGCATTCCATATCAGTGCCTGCTCCCACCCTGCTTCCAGCCCAGCTTCCTGCTGGTGAGCCTGGAAATGTAGCAGATGATGGTGCGAATACCTGAGCCCCTAATACTCTTGTGGGAGGCCTGGTTGGAAACCCCGGTTCCAGGCTTCAGCCTAGCACAGTACCAGATGTTCTGGCCATCTGGGGAGTGTAGCAACAGGTGGAAGATCTCTTTGTGTCCCTCCCTATCACTCTGCCTTTCAAATAAAATCTTCAAAAATAATTTAGGTTCCTGGGCCAATGCGATGGCATATCAGGTTAATCCTTCACCTGGGATGCCAGCATTCCATGTAGGCACCAGTTCAAGTCCCAGCTGCTCCACTTTATACCCAGCTTCCTGGTTATGGCCTTAGAAATAGGTGGAAGATGGCGCCAGTGCTTGCACCACTGCATCTACATGGGAGATTCAAAAGAAGTTCATGGGGCCTGGCACGGTAGCCTAATGGCTTAAGTCCTAACCTTGCAGGTGTCAAGATCCCATATGGGTGCTGGTTCTAATCCCAGCAGCCCTGCTTCCCCTCCAGCTCCATGTTGGTCTGGGAAAGCAGTGGAGGATGGTCCAAAGCCTTGACCCTGTACCCGCGTGGGAGACTCAGAAGAGGCTCCTGGCTCCTGGCTTCAGATCGGCTCAGCTCCAGCCATTGCAGTCACTTGGGGAGGCGACCATTGGATGGAAGAACTTCCTCTCTGTCTCTCGTCCTCTCTGTATATCTGACTATTCAATACAAATAAATAAATCTTTTTCTAAAAAAAAAAATAAGCTCCTGACCTCTATTTTTGACTAACCCAACTCCAGCTGTCATGGCCATTTGGGAAGAGAATCAATAGTTGGAAGCTCATCTCTGTCTTTTTTTTTTTTTAAGATTGATTTATTTTTATTGCAATCAAATATACAAAGAGGAGAGACAGAGAGGAAGATCTTCCATCTGGTGATTCACTCCCTAAGTGAGCACAATGGCTGGAGCTGAGCCAATCCGAAGCCAGGAGCCTCTTCCGGGTCTCCCACGTGGGTGCAGGGTCCCAAGGCTTTGGGCCGTCCTCTACTGCTTTTCCAGGCCACAGCAGGGAGCTGGATGGGAAGTGGGCTGCCGGCATTAGAACCGGCACCCATATGGGATCCCAGTGCATTCAAGGCAAGGACTTTAGCTGGTAGGCCACACCGATGGGCCCAAATCAATCTTTTAAAAAAAAAATAGCTTTTCAGAACATATAAGTTCTAAACAAGGTCCATGCATTGCATTGATTTGCTCTTTTAAAAATGCATTTAGTTATTTATTTGAAAGGCATAGTTAAAGAGAGGGGTAAAGACAGATCTTCTGTCCACTAGTTCCTTGCACTCATCTGGCCGGTCCAGGCTGAAGCTAGCAGCCCAGGACTTCATCCAGGTCTCCCATATGGGTTCAGGGGCCCAAGCAAATTGGGCCATCCTCTGTTGCTTTCCCGTGGAACATTAGCAGGGAGCCTGATGTGAAGTGGAACAGCCGGGACTTGAACCAGCACTCTGATGTGGGATGCTAGCATCCTAAGCATTGGCTTAGCCGCCTGCACCACAGCGCTGCCTCCTGCTCCTCCCTTTTTTCATGGCATGTACTTAGCGGGCAGGTGCTGGGAAGGATAACTACTGGGAGTGGGGGAGGGGAAGCGGAGGACAGAACACAAGGTGGGAAGAGGCAAGATGCAGCCGTCACCACCCACCCCGAGGGAGCACTGGCCAGGGGGGTACATCCCTGAGTCCCCCCGACCCAGCCGCCAGAGCCCAGGGCAAATGGCCAGGTGGCCTTGGCTGGAAGTGGTAGTGAGTTGGGCTTATGTCAGGGAGGGATCACACTGCGGAAAGAGGTGAGGGGCCACAAAGGAACCGGATGTGTGCATAGGAGAGGTGGAGGGAGGTGAGGGCCAGAACCCAGCCCCTGGCCAGTGCCCAGCTCCGGCTCCAGCTCCTCCCGGCCTGGCCCAGCCCCAGGAGCCCCTCCCCGGCCTCCCAGCCACCAGCCACCTGGGACTCCGACCGCAGCTCCTTGCATGATGTCGGGGAGCAGCGGGCCAGTGCCTTTGCTGCTTGGTCTCCTGCTGCTGCTCCCAGGTCTCTGTGGCCCTGGTGGGAGGCGGGCCCCACGCCGCAGGTTCGAGTACAAATTCAGCTTCAAAGGACCAAGATGGTCGCCTCCCGGGGCTGGAATACCCTTCTGGAGCCACCATGGAGGTGAGGGCGGTGAGGAGCGGGGGGACTGGCCATGCCCTGGGTGCTCTGGGTAGTAGGTGCACAAAGGACCCTTGACCCTGCTCAAGGACCCTTCCCAGACTTGCTTCCTGCCCCACTCCTTACCATCTCCGCGCCCTCCAAGCCTCAGTTTCCCGTCTGCCTCTCTCTCCCTCGCTAGGACTTGCGCCGGGACACAAGGGTGGGGAGATAGAGTAGAAGCAGGCACAAGGGTGTCCAGCCCACAGGGGCACAGTCTGAAAATGACTTAGCGAGTCGGCTTCCCATCAGATCTTCCTGTTGGCAAAATGTTCGGTGGTGACTCCATGGAGCTTAGGGCTGAGGAAATAAGCTGCTGTTTTTAGAGCATCCCAGCAGGCAGAGAAACAACAGCCGGGCTGTGTGTTGCAGTCCGTGCATTGCCGAGTTCTGGGGACAGGTGTGATTCCTGCTCGAGGCCAGCGCCGAAGACCCTCCAGGCCAGCAGGGAGCAGGGCTGGCCCTTTGCAGTACCAGTGGAAACAGAAGTGGGCAGCCTCTCACAGGGTGCTCTGTTTCCCTCCTGGCTGTTGAGTACCACGCCAAGGTCACCCAGCACAACCGCCTTGTCTATTAAGTGAACTCATCCAGTCTTTTAGCAACCACCCTCCCGACACCTGCCTGGTGCCCCTTGTGCCAAGCTCAAACACACAGGTCCAAGTGAGTGAGGCTCTTGCACATGAGGAGGGGCGCTGGGAGGTGGAGGTGCAGCTCTTGCCACCCCCACTCAGGTCCCCTCCAACAGGAAGTCAGGTGTGGCCTTGCGGGACACGTCCCTGTCCCTGGCTGCATTCCCAGGGCTGAAGGAATGGGAAGGGTTTGCCAAGTCCACAACGCGGTGGGACACAAGGGGAAATGGTCTCCAGCCCCTGCTTTAGCTTCAGACTTTCAGTTCTCTCCCCTGTGAAGATGAAGATCCCACAGTCCTGTGGCCAGACCAGCTGCCCCAGCCCCTCTGACGTTGGACCCCCCAGCCTTCATTCAGGGCCGGCTTTGCTGCTGCCTTATCCCCTCTGCCCACAACTCAGCCCAGGCCAGTGGGAGTGAGGACCCTGGGCTGGGCCTGAGCTGTGCCATCAACAGATGCCATCTTGGGCCTGGAGGAAGTGCGCCTGGTGCCCTCCCTGCGGGACCGGCGCGGCGCCATGTGGACCAGGGCCCCTGTCCTGTTCCGGTCCTGGGAGGTGGAGGTGCAGCTGAGGGTGACAGGGCCAGGGCGCCGAGGGGCACAAGGCATGGTGAGTGCCCCCCCACCCCTGCCACTCCTAGCCCGGGGTCCCTGAGTGGGGATGAGGCAGGGAGCTGGAGATGACCCCCAACTTGAGGGCTGGGGCCTCTGCAGGCAGTGTGGTACACGCGGGAAAGGAGCAAAGAAGGCCCCATCCTTGGGGGGCCAGCCGAGTGGCACGGCGTAGGAATCCTCTTCGACTCCTCAGCCGGGGATGCCCAGGTGAGTGGAGGGTCTGCCCCCACTGTCCCCCCACCTGCACCCGCCACCCCCAGTCCAGCTGATGGCCGCATCCCCCATAGGACAGCCCTGTCATTCGTGTGCTGGTTGGAGACGGCCACAGCTCCAGTGCACAGCCCAGGTAAGGGCCTGGAAGGAAACCCCCCACAAGGGGCTAGGCTGGCACCACCCCAGGCACCCCCACCCTCACAATCCCAGTTACCCTCCTCTTTCTGAGATGTGGGCTGTCCCCAGGGGGAGGAGGGGCACCACAGGGGCAGGTCTGGGGTGAGGGTTTCACACCCAAGAGCCACTGTCACTGCCAGTAAGTGGGGATTAGGAGCCTCCCTGGCACATCCCGGGGCACAGAGAGGCCCAGAGAAGGCAAGCAACCTGCCCACGGATACACAATGCCACAAAGGCACCATCCATCTCCAGTCTTGGGAGATGACGCAGCTGACGTGGCATTCCCACCCTCCCCAGCCCTAGCCGAGCCGGTTTGTCGGTTCATCTCAGCAAATAGCCCCTGGCTCTCTCCTCATTCCACTGACTGGCTCATAACAATTAGAATAATTGCTGGTAGCCTGGCACTATGCCTAACACCTTCCCCTAGCCTGCTTGGTTAACCCTGGTCACGTCCTTAGGAGGTCACTGCAATTAACGTCAACCTCCTCCTCCTCCTCGTAAAGGCAGGAACACCCTGGGCAGCTCGGAGGGCTGAGGCCGCTGCCCCAGGTCATGCCAGTGCATGCCAAACCTAGGGACAGACCAGGGACAGCTTGCCATTCTGTGCTGCCCCCTCCTGGCCGAGGGCGGCAGGGACAGGCACCCCGACGCTTCTCTCCATTGGCCCTGCCACCCCGTAGGGGAGGGCTGGTCACGTTGTCAGTCCTGCTAACCTCCCTTCAGAGCAGAGGGGCAGGGAGAGAGGTCCCACCCGGAGGGAGCCTGGAGCTGAAGGGGACTCCTGGGAGGGAGCGGCAGTGGGATGGACAAGGTTCTGGAAGAGAGAGAGAAACCCAGGGAGGCACCCCCATTCTGCCCTTTCTTCTGGGTTGCCCCGGACTTCTGTGGGACACTGGAAAGCCACTCCAGGGCCACGTCCCCCATCGTTACCAAGTCCCTACTGTAGGGGTCGAGGAGGGTGGCACTGCAGGCCTGGGCAGAGTAAGCTGCTGGCCCTGCTAGACTTCCCAAGTGCCCACAGGGACCGAGCCAGCCGGGTGCTGGGTTTGTGTCACCGGAACTTCCGTAACTGGCCGTATCCCTTCCGAGTGCGAATCACCTACTGGGAGCACAGACTGCGTGTGAGTGGGTAACCCCCTCTACTGTTGCAGGGGTTATGGAGGGGGGCAGTGCAGAAGACAGGTGCGTGTTACACCATGTGGGTGTCTGGGTCCCCCAACAGACCCGTCCTGGAGCCCCTAGCACACACAAACTGATCCCCACAAGGGGTCCCCCAGCATGCATTGTGATGGGGGTGTGTGAGTGCGTGCGTAGCTCCTGGGAGACCCCGAGCTAGTGTCCAGGCGGTTCGGACCCCTCTCGCCTTGGCCCTCTGTAGGTATCCTCTAATAGCGGCCTCACCCCCTACGATCCTGAAGAGTTCTGCGTGGATGTGGGGCCCCTGATTTTGCCCTCTGGAGGTTTCTTTGGAGTCTCAGCAGCCACCGGCACCCTGGCAGGTAAGGCTTCTATGAGCTCAGGAAGGTAAATGGTTTTGGGGGGAGCAGTATTAGCAACTGCTCCCTAGCCACCTTCTAAAGTGCCCTGCCTGGGGGCAGAGCCACCTGCCTACCCTGTGAAGCTCCTGGGAAGGGGGGGCGGGAAAATAAGGCAAGGGCGGGCTCATCCCCCCACATACACACCGGTGCCCTGTGCTGGCCCTGCCCTGGAAGGGCCCCCAGCAGGATGCAGCAGGGCAAGCAGAAGGGGAACACCCAAAGGAACATTGAGGGCCTTGGAGGGGTCCAAGCTTTCCCTCAGCGGGAAAGCAAGGAGCAAGCAGAATACAGGGACGCAGCAGCCTGGAAGATTCCTGAGGAAGAGACTGGCCACAGCCAAGCTGTGCAAGCAGCTACCATGAGGCCCCTGTAGGCGGCAGCAACTGTGCCCCGGGTCCCCAGCCCATGGCGCTTCCTGATCACCTGTTATCACTCTTGCCCACTGCTCACCCTACCTCACACCTGCCCTGCAACTCGACCAGCGCAAGGGTCCGGAAGCAGCCTGGGGCGGGCAGGAGGGCGGGGCTGCTGGCTGGAGGCTGCACCTGCTCTCTGCCTTCCAGATGATCATGACCTGCTGACTTTCCTGACCTTCAGCTTGCAGGAGCCGAGTCCAGAGGTGACACACCCCCGTCCCCCTGGATGTATCAGCCCTTAGAGCTGCCGCCCCAGTTCCTATGCCCAGCTGACCTCAGGTCTGGTGCTGGGTGGAGAGTGCAGGGGCCAGGCCTCGTTGTTACGGCCTCCCAGGCTGGCAGCTCAGAGCCCTGCCTGCTCCAGACCAGAAGTCAGAGGGCACGGGGGTGGGGTGGCGCGGAGGCATGAAGACAGCATCAGGGAGCAAGCGAATCTGGGGGGACACAAGCCTGAGGAGGGAGGCTGTGGAGGCTGGTCCTTGGGGGACCTTAGGGAAGGCACCCTCTGCCTCTGCCCCTCCCTGGGCTTCCGGCTAGACTTCACAGTGTCCTGCTGCAGGATGCCCCGCATCCCATCTCGGAGTCGGAGCAGCTCCGCCTGGCTGGACAGCTGCAAGGGCTGCGTGCGAGGCTGGCCCTGGGCACTCGGGAGGACATTGTTCCAAAGCTGGACTTCAAAGCCCAGGACATGGGTAAGGATCCAGGGAGAGGGCAAGTAAGGCAGGGTGGGGGTGGGGTGGGGAAAAAGGCATCGCTTTACTCAATGGAGAGAAAGAGATGCTGGGGGCTGGGGTCTAGACACACCCCTCCCTCCAGGCACATTTACGGGGCAACACGGGGGTGGCTCTAGGGACAGAAGCCACACATCCTGATTCCCCTCCCCACACCTCCCACTCAGCACCTGGCACCCTGCACCCCTGCCTGCCTGACTCTGGGCTGTCCCAACCCACAGGGGAAAGGTTGCCTGACCTGGACGAAACCCTCAGCAGATACAGCCAGGTCCTGCAGGCCCTTCGGGCTCTCTCAGAACAGCTGGTCCAGGCTGAGAGACAGTGGAAGCAGCAGCTGGGCCTTCCAGGCCAGGTCAGGCCAGAGGGCGGCTGGGTGAGCGGCATTCCCAGAGCGACCAAAACTCCACCTGCAGGCTTGGGGCAAGGGTACTGGGTAGGCTGGGCTCCAACAAGCTTGGGAGAGGAACAGATGATACAAAAAACAGGAAAAGGTCAGGCAGAGGGGAACAGGGCAAGCGTGGGAGGGCGCCTCCATGCCCTGGAATACCCACGGAGTCTCCAGCTGGCACCGGGAGAGTGAGGGAGGTCAGGTTTTCAGGGGGCCGCAGGCAAGTGACAGAAATAGACCAGGTGCTAATCTGCATGGAGCACACAGCATGCACAGGGCTAGCTTCATGCTCAGTTGCACCCGGAATCCCCGTTTGGGTGGCTTTGCTGCCGCCGGCCCAGCTACTCCCCCAGGATAAGCCCAGCCCAGAGGGTGCCTGAGGGCTGCATTGGCCCAGGTGGTAGGAATCAGACACGGGCACAGGCAAGGGAGGCCAGCTGGGCTCTGGCAGCTCCACGGCGTTCTCCAGTGTCCTGGTGTGTGTGTGTGTGTGTGTGTGGCTGGGAGGGTGGGAGAGTGGGGGCCCACAGTCCAGAGCCCCACTCCCACCCCTCCTGCCAGATTCTGTTCTCTACCTCCAAAAGTGATGCCCTCAATTCCAGGTCACAAGATGGGGACCCAAGCATGAGGGCTTCGTCAGCAATGGCCCCAGCTTGGATGCCACCATGGGAGAAGGATTTGGGGAAAAGGGGTCTCTCTTGGTGGGGTGGGGCAGCACTATTTTTAAGAAGGAAAGGGATTTTTAAGAAGACTCCTGGGGAGAGGGGTTGGAGGGGGGAACTCTAGCAGCCCCTGAAGTGTGCAGGTGTCCAAAATGAGGGTGCAGGAGATGGGCTGATGCCCCTGGAGGGCGTGTGGGGGAGGGGCTCCAAGAAGGCAAGGGCCATGGCTGTGTGGCCCTAGGCAACAGGCTGGTCCTTCTACTCGGCCCCCAGGACTCTGCCAAGCTCAGCACCCTGCTCTCTGCACAGCAGACTCTGCTCCAGGCCCTGCAAGAGATGAGGTGAGGAGCAGGGGACTAGCAGGTGGAGGATGATGGGGGAGGGGGGCCAACCACCTCCCTTCAGTGCCTGAATTCCCTCTCCCTCCCCAACCCCCTTCCTCACTTCCCAGCACAAAGTCTGGCTGGCCCCCTGGCAGGGGTTGGAGGTAGAGGGAGGTTTGCTGAGCTGACCTGAATTTGAATGGAGCCAAGTTTAAGGTCCTCAACGGCCAAGTTCAAAAGCAACAACTTCCCCAGCCTCCAAGGGGTATCAGGACACTGAAGCAATCCTAAAAGGAAGAGTGGGGGGCCAACGTCAGGCCAGGGGGAGGAGCCAGTCCCTGTGGGCCCAGCCCCTAGAGCTGTCCACAGAGCCTTCCGGAACAAGGACAGATGATCCCCTGCATGATGTGGACACTGTGGCTGGAGGCCAACCTCCTCCCACCCCCAGATGCCCAAGGGTATTGACGGATGGGAGGAGGCAGAGGGCCCAGGAAACCTGGGGCTGGGACTACTCTTAGTGGCAGCCCTAGGGAAGGGAGAAGCTGACCCAGGGTCTAAAAAGAAAGTATGGAGTGAATTCAAAGGGTCCCACCCCTAGGGTAGCCTGTCTGAACACAGCTCCCTCCTTTTGCACCCTGCCAGGCACCGGGCAGTTCTGATGGCTTCCGGTGCCCGGGTGTCCTTCCTGCCCCTGGGCACCGCACACCATTTCTCAGAGCTGGAGCAGACCCTCAGCCTCCTGCACAAGGACCTCCGGGGTGTGGTGGTGAGGGAAGCCACAAAGCCCCCTCCCTGAGGCCCAGCCCGCAGCGCCGCCTGCAGCACCTGCTGCCTCCCCTCCCCTCCCCCTTGCCTGGTGCTGTAGGCTTCTCCTCCTCCCCGCACCCCTATGATCCCAGGCCCTGGGCCTTCTTCCCAGCTGTTCCCACAGATGGAGCCGTGGGAGCTGGGGTGGGGGTTGGAGAGGCGGCTGGCTCTGTCTGCCGCCCCTTCTTCAGACTCTTTGGATGATAACAGCCTGGGCAGTCCCCACCTCCACCCCCAAGCCCGGGAGAACAACACGGGACCCCCACACCGCCCAGATTTCAGTCTCCCCTCCCTCCTATGGGGTAAGAAGTGGAGCCAGGCAGGACTGTAGCTTTTGCCCATTTCAGAAAACAGCATCCCAGGCCCCCCGCAGCCCTGGTGGGCGCCCAAGGGCCTCCTCCTGCCTGCGGCCTGGAGTCTTTCTGCTCTTTCTGGTCACCCAAACCGTGGGCTTTTTCTGCTACCTGCACTTCAGGTAGGCTCTCCCTGGGCAGGCCTTCCTGCGCTCACAGCCAGGCATCTCTGGTCCTGGGCTGCGGAATAGGCCCAGAGGGCGGCTAGCTGCTCAGCATGCAGTAGGGGGCTGGAGCCAGACAATATAGGCTAGGAGCAGCGAGGGCTAGTCCCTGTCCGGTCTGTCTGTGTACTACTGTCATGGAGTTCATGGGTGGGCGCTTGCACAATGTGTGGCCAGGACACTGGGACCCAGCCTGGGGACATCAGGGCCATTTGAAAAGGGTCACCCTGTGACAATAAGGAGATTGCTGATGGATGGGATGGTGGCGGGGTGGGGGTGGGGTCGCAGACCCGAGAAAAGGCATGGGGGACATAGACAAAAAACACAGTGGCAAGTCTTGTTGCAGCAAAGGGCAGGAGCCAGTGTGTGAAATGAAGAGGTATGTGTGTATGGGGTGGAGGTAGGAAAGTTTGCTCAGTGGGTGTTTGTTGAGTAAATATGCATCAATTAAGAGTTGGGGCACAGAGGGACCCAGAAAGAAAGGTGTTGGGTGATCCCAGAGGTGTAGCAAAGTGTGTCAAGCTTCTGAGGCCGCGAGATGGCCACAGTTACAGGCTTGGGCAGGGACAACAGAGTGACAGGCAACAGATCTGCAATGTACAGCACTAAGGGGGGTGCCCAGAAGGACGGTCACAGACGGAAGAGGCTGTGGGGTGAAGGAGGCGAGAGCTGGGGGGGCTCTGTTCCAGTGGCACAGAGACTCAGCTCCCTTCTCTCTGTCTGCGCACCTCCCCGCCCCCATCTCCGGCTGCAGACAGGAGCTGGACAAGCGCTTCCGGGAGTGTCTGTCTAGAAGTGCCCTTGCTCTGGGCCCTGCCCTACACCCAGCGGGGGCCCTGGGTGCTCTCAGGAGACAGCCTTTCAACCCCAGCACCCAAGCCTGACCACAACCAAGTGGGCGGTGCTCCGCTGCCTGAATCTGCTGTGCGCCCAGCCACCTCTCACGCCTCAGCTTTTGGCAAGCTCCTGCCTTATTAAAAGTGATCTCCCGGATCCCCGGGCTGTGATACTGTCACTGACCTTGCAAGCATCCCTTAATCTCTCCCAGAGGCATCCACCTCCGCCAGGCTGGGAGCGAGGTGTGGGCTCCTGGCCAGCAAGGAGGCCCAGGGCTAAGCTAACTGCCGTCAGGCAGCCCTAGTTACCGCTGGGTATCAGTTGGACCCCATAAGCACCGAAAGCAGGGGGCTCAGGGTCCCAGCTGACCTTTGCCAGCGGCAAGCCTCTGCCCACAGCTCCAAGGCCACAGCTCCAAGGCCTTAATTGGGATTCGCCTGGGGCAGCCAGTCCCTCTCCCATTCTCTGGCCAAGCTCCTTGGGCCAGCTGCTGTTGGGCAGGGTGTATGTGTTGAATGGGGGAGAGGGGAATAAGGGGAATCGGAAAATAAGGGGAATGGGAGAACGGGGTGGGGCCCAAGACAAGGTTTTGTCGCCTGGTTGCTACCCCATCTCCCAGCTAAAACTCCCCGGAGAGGGAAGGGCGTCGGAGGCAGGGTGGGGGAGCACGGGACAGCCCAGTCGCACACCGCGGGCCCCGATTGCGCGCCCGGCGGCGCCCGGCGGAGCTGGCATTGAGGGAGGCACGTGGGAGAGGCGGGAGTGGGGCGCGGGCACGTGGTCCCCGCTGCCCGGCCCCGTGCGTGCCCCCCGCCCCGCTGGGGAAGGGGCGGAGGCGGGCAGCGAGCGCGCGCGGCGGGCGCTGTCCGCCGGCCCAGTGCTGAAGCAGGTGCGGACGTGGCCGGCTCCCGGGGGCCCCGCCAGGACCATGGCGTTCATGGTGAAGACCATGGTGGGCGGCCAGCTGAAGAACCTCACGGGGAGTCTGGGGGGCGGCGAGGACAAGGGAGAAGGGGAGAAGTCGGCGGCCGAAGCACAGGGCATGAGCCGAGAAGAGTATGAGGAGTACCAGAGACAGCTGGTGGAGGAGAAGTGAGTGGGGACCCTTCCGGGCTCTAGTGACCCCTGCTCCGTCCTCCCACCGGCTCAGCCCTGAGCCCCCAACCCACTTTACGAGATGGTGTTAGCTGGGGCTGGGACGCACTCTCCATGCTGCCCCTGGAGTCACCCCATCTCAACTGCACGACCTTGCTCCACATCCCACTCTTGCTTAGAAGGAGTAGGGGGTCTGGGATGGGGACTGGGGGGTGGGGGGGGTTCGCACGTGCATTGCCGACAGAACCAGTAATCCTTTAATCCGATCTGGTCCCAGCTGCCTCTCTTCCAGCTGGGAGCAGGGAGGGTGTGGCCATGGGAGACTGATATTGGGATGGGGGCACTGTGAGGCAAGGAACCTGTCTGTGTCCCCCACCTCCCCCCGCCGCCCCCCAGTGCTGGGACAGGAGAACAAGGCCAGGAGAGTGGGAAGGGGCTTTTTAGGACAGGACCTCAGAGCTATGCTGCTGAGGTTCAAATGCTGAAGTTACTTTTTCCTTATCTTCCGGGTAACATTAGGCGAGTTCCTCAGCCTGTCTGTGCCCCTGTTCTCTCTGGACAGTGAGGTACTATCCACCCTACACAAGGCAGAGTGTGAGTGACTTGACACCTGCCAACTGCCTAGCATGTGGCTTCATCCCTGTTAAACACTGGCCAACTGTCACACCTCTTAATCCTGAAAACATTGCATTAAATTGCAAAATGTTTCCCTAAGGACAATCCCTAAAGTGCTGATGAACTCAAGTCTATCCTCAATACTTTCCCACCCACCCCGGCCTGGCCCCAGGCACAGGTCGACAGGGCAGGAGGGGACAGAGCAGGTGGGGAGTTGCATGGGACTCCTGTCTCAGGGTCTGTGGCCAGCTCAACTGATGCCTCCATCCAGTGGGACAATGGACACTAGGACAGGCACAGAGCCCACAGCCAGGCTGGAGCGCCCTGGCTATGCACAGGTGGGCCTAGGGTGGGCAGTGGTATCTTGCTCAACCCTGGTAGTTATGCTGCCCACCCTCACCCACCCCTGCTCTGTATGCTACAGGATGGAACGGGATGCACAGTTTGCCCAAAGGAAGGCTGAACGTGCCACCCTGCGCAGCCACTTCCGGGATAAGTACCGACTGCCCAAGGTAAGTGGGCACAGCTGCCAGGGGTACCCCAGACCCTGAACTCTACAGTTCTCAGACTGGGTAAGAGAGAAGGCCATGCATGGCCTGGACCCATAGAGGGCCAAGGATGGAGAGGTCCTGGCCACTCCTCCTCTCCACGTGCCCAGATCTACACTGGCCTGGAGGGGGACCGGAAGGACAACTCAGGCACAGGTGATCCAAGTCAGAAGATGTCACACTCATTTTGTTGAACTTGCTGTGGCCCAGGCCTTGGGATCCACACAGCATTCCCAGCTTTGGGGAGCCTCTGGCAGGGGGCAGGGAAGAGTGGAGATGCCCCCAGGTCCCCTCCATCACAAGGATAGGGAAGTGGAGTGGCCTCTTAGTGGAGTGTCTTGTGCAGAGGTCACAGCTGAGGGAATGAGCAGTGGTGGGGGGGCGGTCTCTGGCTTGAGCTCCCCAGCTTGCTTGCCTGCACACTTGTGCAGGTTACTGACCCATCTGAGCATCCATGTCCTAATTTGTAAGGTGTAACGGCTTCACCCACCTCACAGGGTTATCATGAGAACTGGAAGGGGCCAGGCTCCATCACAGGTGAGTGATGGACAGAGATGCCATCATCCATCACGCCCCTCAGCTGGCAGGTGACCTGCTGGGTCCTCCGTGCTCTCAATGACATCAGCTGCTTGGCTCCTACCTGCAATGTTGGGCTTGAGAGCCCAAGGCCAGGAAGCCTGTCTTGGCCCCTCCTGTACCCTCAACTCTGACACTCACAGCCCTGTCTCCCCTCTTCCCTCCAGAATGAAACGGACGAGAGCCAGATCCAGATGGCAGGGGGAGATGTGGAGCTGCCCCGGGAACTGGCCAAGATGATTGAGGAGGATACAGAGGAGGAGGAGGAGAAAGCGTCTGTGCTCGGGCAGTTGGCCAGCCTCCCAGGCCTGGACTTCAGCTCCATCAAGGACAAGGCCCAGGCCACACTGGGGGACCTCAAGCAGTCGGCTGAGAAGTGCCACATCATGTGACCACATCCCCTACCCCTAACTGGGGTGGTCCACTGGGGATGGGCCAGAGAGGGTGCTCCAAGTGTGTCTCAGCCCCCTGGGGGACCCAACCCCACTTGGGGATGCTGTTTCCCTTGCCCATCCGAACCCAGAACCTGTCAGATCCGAGCCCCCAGGCCAGCCTTCTGGTCACTCTTAGAGCGCAGGCACCTGGGCACAGCCCCCGCAGACCAACACATAGACCCCCCTGCAGTGGCTCTGGGCAGGCATCCTCTGCAGACATGAAAGGCCTCTGGGCCTCCCTTGGCCATCTGTAAAATAGGAATGCATGGACAGGTCTGACACAGCCCCCTTTCCCCATCTCCCGGTCAGGGCGGCAGCTGCAACCACAGTCCTCCAGTGGCTGCCTCAGCAGCTCAGCAGGCTAAGCGCTGCTGTGCGAGGGGCGCAGAGCCAAGGATGAAGCTGGCACAGAACAGCAGCCCAGGCGGTTCCCGGGCCCCATCTGGGCCCAGGGCCCAGTGCGTTTCTGCTCCTGTAGAGCTCTCTCCGGATTCCATAGCTGGAGTCTCCTTTCTCCCAGCTCCGTGAAAAATAAAAGAGCCGTGTGACATGCTGACCTTCTCCCTTCTTTCCCACTTCTGGGAGGGTGGACTTCCCCTGGCCGGGAGGGGTGGCTTCCATCCCCTCAGCTGCCATTGTCTGGAGGGAGGTGTCCTCAGGGCTAGGAGCACCTACTAGATGCTACTACAGCAGCAGCCCCCCACAAGTTGTTCAGGTTCTAGGCTAAGCCCAGGCCAAGCCTGGGGTGGGAGTACATGAGGGTGGGTTTTGAGGTGGGCATGTACCTGCTAGATGGGGCTGCTCATGGGGCATCCAATGAGACAGGGAGGGTCACAGCTCACGTCATAGCCTTGTTGGGTATTGTGTCTGGCCCACTCCCCTCCTCGTTTTGGACCCGGGAGATACAACACGAATGCAGAGACCTAGAGGCCCTTTCGTAGAAGCCCACTTAGCCCTCCCCATCTCACGTCATGGAGGATCATCAGTTATTGTAAAGCCCTGGTAACTGTTCACCAATAAAGTGCAACTCAGTCTTTCAAAGCAGGACAGAGCTCCAGTCTCCCCTCAGTCATTGTGCTGGGGGCCGGCAGCTACCCAAGCAGTTGGGCCCATAGCAGGAAGCAGGTGCTACCGGTCCCTTCGCAAATTCCCCAAAAAAGGGTCTGGGTCCACGGCTTGCTGCTCAGGTGGCAGCCTGTAGGGAGGCAGCCAATGTGCCTGGCACCAACACTTACCCAGGCCAGGTTTCATTGGCAAGTTCCCATTAGGGTTACTCTGGGTAAAGTCAGGACATGGAGCCAGTGCTGGGGCAGTGGGGGACAGGAGGAGGAAGAGAGGACCCCGAAGGACACAGGACAAGGACAGAGCAGCTTGAGCCTGTCACCCTGGGTCCCTTTCACTCTCAGATATTCCCGGTGGCCACCAACAAACAAACCCCTCCCGACCTTGACGGGGCCCGAGCCAGGCGGGGCCACAGCGAAGCTGCTGAGCCACGTCAGTGGAGAGGCCGCGTCAGCACCGCCACCCCAGGCACCTTCTGTCTAATGGGATTGGACAGACCCCTCCGTGTCTGTGTTTGGCAGGGCTGGGGAGGGGGACAGCATGCGGGGAGCCACACAAAGATGGTTGCCTGGGCACACAGTGCAGGCTGTGGGGTGCCTAGCTCTGCTGGCCAGGTCGTGCCTCCTGCCTGCTCTCTCTCCCCATCAGCCCTGGTCCCTGGGTCTCTCATCTGGGAGAACCAGGGGTGGAGCTTGGCCCCCGGCTGGGGGCTAACCT